AAATTTTCTGAAAGAGTTTACTAAGGGCTTGTTAGGCTTTCACTTGGTTTTTAAATCAATAAGATCCGATAATTTTTCACAAAGTTATTGGAATTCAAACTACTAAATTAAAAAAATCTTTTTTTTTCGGTGTAGAGAAAAAATAATAAGAAAATAATGGTGCGTATTTTGGATGAAAAAACAAGACTGGGAAATTTTGTTGTTATTAAATGCAATAAAATGTTTTATTAAGTCGCATTGTGTGGCGGATGAAAGCAACGGCGGGCATATAAATATTTAGAAACTTCTTTTTCATAAACATTACAATTTTTCATTCCATTTTGACCGCGAATGAAACCGTATGACATAACTTGGCGATAGCGCTAAAAAGTTAGACGTGTTTCTCCCCCGAAATAAAAGGGCATAATGAAATGGATACTGGTAAAATTCATTTGGAGCGAAAAATGATACAAAAAAGTATGATAAAAAGTGAAAGGGGGCTTTAATCGTCCCTTCAGGATTATATTAATCAACATTCATTATCGGCGTGCGGTATTCCACAAGCCACTCTTGTTTATGCAGACGCGCGATGATGGACCAAGTTTGTAATTGTATTTGGGAGCTTTCGCTTAAAAAGAACTTCATTAAAATTACATTTAAAAATAAATCGGAATCCTATGCCCACGCCCTTTCCACTAAACATTCCACTGGAAAAAAAGTTATTGTATTTATAAAAGAACGACGTAAATGTTCGTGCTTTTAATTTAAACGCCACAAAATAAAAAAAGTGGGCAAAAAATAAATTTCCTGATTGTTCATTTCCTTACTTCACTAAAGGGCGAAATAGCGTAAAATATTCTGTGCAACCATTGGTCACGCTCGAGAAATATCTTTATCCCACTAGTCGCACAATATTTTTCATCTTTGTCCCTACTGATAAACAATTGAAATTGTTTGGCAGAAATGAATAGTCGACGCAACTTAATAGAAAATGAAGCCCCAAAAGCAAAACGATTAACGTAGCCAGCGATATGTATCTAATTTGTTGGAGTTACACAATAAAAAATTAGTTGAACAGTTAAACGTTTTAATTAACTTGGAAGTTACTGCAGAACACCAGGAAAACATTGTAAGAAGTCTACAGATGCATCTGTAGACTGAAGAGATGAGTGATACTATGCTCCACACCTCAAAGTCCCACCACGTGACCACGTACGCAGTCTTTTGAAAATTTGGCATTTAAGGATTTTCAGGTTATGTATCTGTCAAAGTATAGTCAACGAAAGAAATAATATTAGGTTTAGGCGTTAAAAATGTATAATTCTTTATAACATTACAATAACAATGGATGGTTTAAGAATTTAAGAATATAAATACTGCATTTAATGAAATTCTAAAATTTTAACTAAACAACAGCATTTATTAAAAAAATCTACCTTTTCTATTATGGAATAAGAATATCTGTTTTAAAGGTAGGTTAATATATTATAACAAAAATATCTTCTAATTTTGTAATTTTAAGGTAAGAAAAATTTATTTTGACAAAAATAAATAAGTATTTTGGATTATTTAAAAGACTGTAGAATACATAAAGTTTTGTCAATACAAATAGTTATAGAAGAATAGTTACTGAACTTGATCTACATCGAAAAATCATTTTAACTTTAAAATTTTTAATAAATCACATGTCATGGGAGTATTCAATATTTTCACATTGCGTTTCTCTAAAAATTGTTTGTTTTCTTATAATCTAACTTAAAGTAGGTATGCCGAGAGGTATGCGCAAGTTTTGCCATTAGAAGTATAAAAGCTTCAATTTAATTTGAACTATATTCAACAATTATTTAGTATACCTATATTTATTTATGACCATATTAACACACTCTTCCAAATAATCCACTTTATTTTGGTCAAAATAGATTTTTCTAACCTTAAAATACAAAATTAGATGATATTTTTTGTTCTAATACATTAACCTACCTTTGATACAGATATTCTTATTTCATAATAGAGAAGTTAGATTTTTTTTAATAAATGCTGTTTAGTTAAAACTATTTTATGAAGAAATGTAGACCCAATGCACAAAAATATCACTTATATTGCACCTTACACTTTGGAATTTCATTAAATGCAGTATTTATATTCCTAAATTCTTAAACCAACCATTGTTATTGTGATACCATAAAGATTTATTAACTTTTAACGCTTAAACATAAGCGGTAACACTATAAATATTATTTCTTTCATTGACTATACTTTGACAGATACATAACCTGAAAAGCCTTAAATGCCAAATTTTCAAAAGACTGCGTTCCGTACGTGGTCACGTGGTGGGACTTTGAGGTGTGGAGCATAGTACACCTTATGCAAGTCGCCTTATAAGAAACATGAGTTCTACCGGTTAAGAGCTAAGCAGAGCACTAGCAGCAGCAATTTCAGGAGAAGGCTTAATGAAGAATTGGACGGTACCACAAAACAAAGAGTTACCGGACTGCGTCTTGCAAGGGAACACATAAATTGGACTGAGTATTGGCGACTTTAGCGAGGGTCCATTTTTTGTGGTTTAAATATATTTTGGGAAAGAATTTGTTGTGATGCTTGGATGGATTTATTTTATGCAAGATAACTCAGGGACTCCTGTACTATCTTCAACTATGGATTTGCCACCAAAAAGTCCAGATATGAACCCCATAGAAAAACTATGGGATACCCATAAACAATCTATCCTTTTTATAAAGAATATGTTTAAAAAACATGGTAAAATTACATATTGGTGCGTTAACTATGTTGTTGGGTTTATATACACACAAAGTAAAAATTAAACTTAGTAACAGAATGAACAACAAGTTAATATTAAAACGGCAATATTTAATTAGGAAACTTGTTAACGAGATAGTACTTCACTTATTCATGTCGTTGTCTGTATCAAATCCAAAACTATAAAGTTTAAAGCGTTTCAATGCGAGCTTCTATTTAGAATAAGCTTAATAATATAAGACCACAAGCACTTCCAAATTAATAACTAAACGTTTTAATTAAATGCCGTCTAGCAAAATCACTTTTGTACAATGTTCGTTTTATAAAAAATTAACCAATTTGCTGGTTGAGTTTGAGAAAAAAACTGCTCTAGATTTGAATCTTAAAGAACAAAAAATGGAGAAAAGATTAAATTTTGAAAATTTAAGTTATTAAAGTAAGGCTAGCCTCCTTTATATATACTATAAATCAAATACTTTAACCGAGGATCATTGGTAATGTAGCTAGGGAATCCTAGTCAAACTCAAGAAAAATAATACACTAGACTCTACAAAAAAGGTTTGATTGGAATTCTCCGTCAGATGAACCGTTTTCTTACAATCATGCCTTAAAAATTGGTATAGTTTTACAATTTGATCTTTTAACTTTGGAATTTTGTAATTCATGTAAAAATCAGTACCCGGAAAAAACCGATAGATATTCTTATGGGAAATAAAATGCTCTACAAAAAAAGTCTTCTAACATTTTTGGCTAAATTTACTCTATCAAAAGTTGTTCAAGGTTAAATTTGAGGTCAAAACGAAATTCTTGTTTTTTCCGCTCTAGATTTTTTTTGGGTCAGTTAAAAACTTGAATTCTTTTATCGATGATAATCTTTATGTTATTGATAAAATTTCTGAAAATAAAAAAAAAATTCTCTATTTTCTTTGAAAATAATATTTTTCAGTACTTTTATCAATAACATAAAGATTAATATAAAATTTTCTACTGTTACATTTAGGGCCGGTTTATCAATATCTGGTTAAGATCCAGTTAGCCTATCTGACAGTTAACTTTCATATTGATCGTTGTGAGAATAATGGTATCCATGGAGATTATCTGCCAGATAACTAACTGCAACTTTAACCTGACATTGATAAACCGGCCATTAATCGTTTAAATAATAACAATCATGTTGTTTTTTTAATGGAAATTGTTAATTAGTTATATAAAACACATTTAAAAAGAAAAAAAAATTATAAATTATCATCCATAAAAAATTAAATCTACAGAGGAAAAAAACAAGAATTTCGTTTTGCAAATTTGTAAAATGTAAAAGTGTTTAAATTTGTAGGTTTGTACATTTTAATATCTAAATTATTGTAGTATAAATGAGGAGCATCCGTGCAAAACCGGCTATATCCACTTTAATAAAATGTTGGGAAAATGGCAAAAACTCTCGGTTTCCTGGCCTTTGCAGATAAAAGAAAAAGCAAACTTGAGTTTTGTGGGCTTTGTGGTACTTGATTTATAAGACATACTTTCGTTTTCAAAAACTTTATGCTCGAAAACCGAATAAAAAACGAATAAAATGTAAAAAAAACCTATATTAATTAAAAATATTAACAAAATAAATTTAGTGCAAACATGAAAAAAACAGAACAAATTTTAGTAGTAGCATCGACATATCCAAGCCACATATAATTATTTATTGGATATACCCGGGTTTGCTATAAAAACGTGGATTTGGCCGGTTTTGCTCCAAAAGCTACCTTTTAACATGGATTTAGTCGGATTTAAACTGAATTATCTTGGTTGTCGATAGAAATGAACCCAAAGATGCGAAATAAAAAAAAACAAAAACTAAATAAAATGGATTTAGCCGGTTTTGCACAGATGCTCCTCAAACATTTTGGTATAATTAGTTTACACAAATGCCTTGTGTAAAGGTCAATATTAGATCATTTGACTTGGCGTCATCGATCTGTCTATTCCGCCATGATGGCTGCCGATTTAATAAACCACGCCTGGAATTGACATGATCTAAATTTACGTTTGAACTATCTCGCATTATAATTTAGATTCTAAATAATAAACAATTCGTACTTGATTTTATCTAATTAAAAGGGCAGGGTTGTACTTTATTTTACCTAATTAAAAAGTCAGGGTTGAACTGGATTTTATCTAGCTAAATGTCAGGGTTGTACTTTTATTTAATTATTTTGCAGGTGGCAGCAGTAAATCGAGTTAAGGGGAACATTCAGCGAAACATTTGGGATACAGACCTTGCAATTTAGCGACTCCTTTGAACGTAACAGGATCTATAACAGTCGGGTCGCTTCTTCCTTTGGCGTTAACCGCGTACAGCATTATCCTGTAGCTGGCGCCCGGGTCCAGCCCGTTCGCGGCGAAGCTGGGCGGCATCTTGTAGCTGGTCAGGTTGAGACGCGGCCGCAGGCTCGGCAGCTCCAGCACCTCCATCAGGAAACTTTGGGGCAGCCCGCCGTCGAATCCCTCCATGCAGTCCACCTGCAACGAGTTCGACGTCTGGTTGATCAAGGTGCAGTTTTGGAGTTGCGCGGGGCGACCTGCAAAAAAAATTGACAACTGTCAGTCGAATTTAACCTCACTTTTTACCAATTTGTACAGAATTTTTTAAAATAAATATAACAGTTTGTCTTAATAAAGTAAAGATCCCCATTCGTCCAACAAATGCTTTTATTACGGCAAAAAGATCATTTTTATATAAATTATTTATCTACAAACGCTGCTTTCAGTAATAGCATCTGCATTCATTGAGGCCTGTCATAGCAAAACCGACAATCTCCACTTTTGGTCAAAAATTAGATTTTTGGCGAAGACTGTACTTTAACTAATTATCTAAATCCTGCCTAAAATCCTATTTTAAAAATGACATTTAGTGCAAAGTCGACAATCTCCACTGAGATTTGCAGCAAAGTATACAATTTCCAATTCCACCATTAGAAATTAGTAATTTGTGTCACCTGATATCCTAACATTGGATGTTATAACGTATTTTAGAGATTTAATTTTGTGTTTTTTTACTGGTACATACTGTTAAGTTCTATTGCAGTAAATGACACTTAAAAATATATTTAAAATAGGTATATTTACGTTTTATTGTTTTAAGAATTATAAAAAAAGTTATCTTGTTTATTTTGTGCTATTATACCATAATAAGCCGTAAAGGTAAAGCAAGAAAAGGCTGATAATGTCAAAACATTGCAAGTGAAACATTACGGGGCAAAGTGGGAAGAAGATGATGAGTTGTTGTACTATAAAAACTTTTTTGCACGAGGCAACCTGGTCCCAGATTTAGAAGAAACTCCAGATTTATGTGGTCCGGTTCAGAATTTTCCCACATTGATTGTATAGTTAAATTTTATACCCATTAAAGGAATAAAAAAACAATTATTTTTTTGTTTATTTTTCTAAATCTCCTTAAACGTTTACAACAAAATGAGCAATCTCCAATTTATAATTATAGATTTCACCTATACTATGCATCCTGGAGACCTTGTAGTTGGCTACTAGACTAACAACAACAATACAGTGTATTTTTTGAATGTGTGTGATTGCGTCATCAATTGCTGAACCAAATAAAGACATTAAAATGTGTAGCTGTCTTTTTTTTTCTTTGTAAAGGTTCATCTGAAATTCTAAAACGTATCGGGATCCGCTAAACCAGCAGATGGCGACACAATTAAACGTAATTTACGATAAACGTGAATCCGATGTCGCGCTCACGCAGCTTGTGCTGAAAAAGGACAGAGCGCTTATAGTTTGTTGTGGCATTGAGCCGAAATTTATCAAAATTTGAAGGTTAGTCAGTGGCGTTCATACAGTAATTTGGCATTAAAGAACAGATTTTGGAAGTTTGACAGGTTTTAAAAAATGTATTGCAAACGTTTGGACGATAATCAAAAACGTTTTATTATTAATTTAGTGCAATATTTTCAAAGGGAACTGGAGCATGGGGGTCCCCTGCTCCCATTAAACTTTGTCCAAAAGGTAAGCTATGTTAGGCTTGTTTCTACTGAGCATGTTTACTTTAGGGTCAAAGACATGTGCAATAGTAAAATCGCATGCGCAATATGAAAATATAACCTCTATTTCACTACAGCGCATGTCTCTGACCTCCATCCGAGAATCCAAATGCTCTGTGGGAATAGTTTGGCAATGGACCAAAAACAACTTCCGATTGCAGCGTATGGCGTATGCCTTTGGCATTTCGATACAGTGGGCAATGCTTTGCGGAAAGCACAAGCATTAGACGAGGCCCTAGCCCAAACTTCTGGCAGCAAAACAAAGGCCAAGTTTCCATACTCACGTCGTAAAAAATTAAAGACCTCAGATTTACCAAAGCCTCCAAAATGGAAATAAGGAAGACAATTTATGACATGTATGCCGCAGGTTGGTTTATAGTTATTTAGGTCACAATGACCAACAATAGTGGTTCTGCATTGATGTGTTTCATTTGTAGGAAAGCACTTAACCCTGAATACTCTTAATGAGCAGGTCAAATTAAAGGAAATTGTTGACATAAGCAGAGTTATCTGTACAGCTTGCTTCAGGAAATAGGTTTTACGTATAAAAAGCATAATAACAGAGTTGCTTTAATGGAGCAGCAGGACGTGGTGTTTCGCAGGGCCGAATTTCTACGGCAGTACACCCTGAACGCTAACTCCAAATTTAAACGCCAAGTTGTGTTTTTAGATAAGACTTGGATTTTTTCAAGAGGCTCCTGTAAACGTTCATGGCAGGATGGAACAGCGAAGGGGGTTCGCCGGCCATGTGCAAGTGAGGGAGTTTAGGCTAAAACATATTATGATTCCCACATGGGGGAAGACGGCTATGGCGACAATATAGTGCTAGCAATGTGGGGCCAAGCACTGAACCAATGCACGCCAGAACGTTGGTGTTCCGTAGTGAGGTACACCAACAAATTAATTGACGATTGGTTCCAAAAAACAAGGATGGTCGATGACGTGCCAGAACTAGTTATCCACCTCGGAGAAGACAGTTCCGACGAGGATGAATTTTAGTAATTTTGTTTTCGTTCTCCTATAAAATTTTATTTTATTAATTAATGTTTTGTCTTAATTATATATATATATATATATATATATATTATAGGTATGTACATAATATTATGTACAAAAATTGTGTATGTTTATTGTTATTCGTTATAAAACTTGCATAATTTACATTAATAAAGTTAAAATAAATGCGAACTAATCATTAGAATTGGGTGTATACTGAGTTGCGTAACTATGAGGCGACATTAGGCAACCAAAAATACCTAAAATAAATGCTTAAACCCCTTCAAAATGATACGCTACTGACTCTAAACTTAGTTTCGGTTTAATTCATACGACCCAATTGATGACGCAATCACACACATTCAAAAAATACACTGTATTTCAATATAATATATAAAAAAATTACAAATCTAGAATTTAAAATATCAAAATCAATTATCTCAATTTACTCAGTTTTAGTCTGATGGGAGATTGTTGACTTTGCTCTGACAGGCCTCAATTATAAAGTAAATTTACTTAATGTTTATAAAAATAACACTCTTCCAGATGCAGAAACGCATTGATAAATATAGTTATAGTTCTATACCGTTTGTGTGTTGGGTAGTTTTTTTTTAATAATTGCAAGGCATTAAAACAAATTATTTATTATAACAAAAAAAGTAACTTATTTTATATAATGTACAAAATAAAAAAATATGAACTCACTTTTTAAACAACAAGTCTGCTTCGTTTATAGAATAGACCTTAAATATTTCTTTTAGAAAACGTCTAAATTTTAATTTTCTTTGTGATCTTTTTGATATTTTTATCATGCTAGATTTTACCACACTTCACTCGCACAAGTGAAATCAATAAGATTATAACACAGACTGTGGATTATAAAGTTATGTTCACCAAGCAGAGCGCTGGCCCTTTCCCCCTCTTTTTAAGGGAAATAACAAAAATTGTGTTACCATTGCAAAACAATAGTAAATATTAAAAAAGTATTTTTATAGCAATAAAATATTTTTGTTACTGTTCTTAACGTAAGCTATTAACAAAGATTTTCTAACTTAAATAAAATTAATTTGAATTACAACGATAGTAATTTAAAAAAGACAAATATGCCATAGTAAAATGAACAAATTTTACTATAACAACTGCGTATTACTTTATGTAAGCGCAATTCACACACAATCATAGATTTAACATAAACATTTTAAGTTCGACAAAGATTTAATGTTAAACATAAAGTATTTCTTATTGCCATAACAATATGATAACAACTATTACTTTGTTGGATGAACATTTTTTTTATATAAAAGCTCAACATTGCTGCTTCATTATAGTAAATGAGAATTTTGTCAACAGTAAAAAAAGTTTATTCTGTAAATAAAAATAATCTCATTACTTTGACAAATCGTAGGGAAAATATAAAAATGTCAAAAAGTCGGTACAGCTGAATATAAACTTTTAAATATTTTCACACTTGGTATTATTTTACAATAAAGGCATTTAATAGTTATTTATGTCATTAGGTTAATAAGTAAGGCTTTTTGTGCTAAGCTCAAAAAGGCACTTCTTGTCCGAATGGCATACAACATTTTATCTTCAAAGCACTTTATATAGGTCAATTTAATTCAACATCAAAGCGGTCTAACCTCACTTTTTTAGAATCTCATTTATTTATTACCTAAAGATTACATTAAATGTACAATAATTATTATTGCTTTTAGAAGCAGTAATAGTTTGACAATACCTAGCAACATGATTTAAGTATAAATTGATTTTTGCTATTACATTCAATTCAATTAATTGTTTAATAAATAGGTAGGTATCTAATTTCAATTTGTTTGGATTTTTATTTAAAAAATAGGTAGTTTGGAATGTTTAAGCTGTGTTTAACATTTAATTTCACTGAAAACTTAAAGCAAATTAAAACTTAAAGATAATTTAAATCGTAGAAAAAGAATCGTGCGTTTTCTTGGTTGCCTAACCTAACTTTTTGTTTTATTATTCATATTTAATTTTACAATAATTTAATGAAAAATATTAAACATTAACAGTAAAACAAACAAATTAGTGCTTATTATAAATAAATTAAACCAGTTTTGTACGTTAATTTCTTAAAAAAGGATTAATTTGTCAAAACAATACCCCTAGCGAGAAAAAATCGAACTAATTACTTGCCTCATAAAATTTTTTATAGGCCTAGGCCATAACAAGGTATGTTGACAACAATAAAGTTTAAATTATAGACCGCGTGGAGATAAACGATTTTATTACATTTGACAGCTGTTAACTAACCTAAAACTAACTTCATCCCGTGGCTAAAACGCCATAAAGCCACAACTTGTCAATGTGTATTTAAAAGGTCACTTAGTGCCATGGAAACATGTACAATAATGGGCGTTTTAAAGGTGGGAGTAGAAAAACCATTTTAAAGATCGACCAAGTATCATTAGACGGGCATTGTACAATCCAATT